TTACCACACCACCACCGTCACCACCACCACCACCACCACTACCACCACCACCACCACACCGTCACAACTATACTTACAGCTCGATGACTACATAGGACATTGCAAGAGAGATGCGAGACTGGTCACCGCAAGTCCAGGAGCTTGCGTCTTTCTACAAGCCACGCCACATTATTCAGCATGACAAAAAATGTTGTGTTCGTAAATATTCAATTGTATTATCGTTCCTTGTATCAAACAGTGCGCTGACTTGATAATAGTGTTTAAAAGAGACGAGAGAGTGAGAGAGAAAGAGCGAGCGAGAGAGAAAGAGAGAAAGAGCGCAAGAGAGAATGCGAACGAACGAGCGAGCGAGCGAACGAAAAGTTAAACATGTGATAAGTCATTGTGAACTAAAAGTGACGTTTAGATTAAGGGGGAGGGGGGCGAGTGGGGAAACAAAGCATGTGTGGAAGAACGAAAGAAAAAGAAGGAGGGGGAGAGCGATGAAAACAAAAATTATAATCGACGGAAATACCTGGCATAGAAACATAACTTATCTGAAGAGACAAAATAATATGTCAAGGCAGCAATGAAGGATGAAGAAAGGAGAAGGGAAGGGTAGGGGGGTGGAACAAAAGTAGGAACGAAAAAAAATAACATGAGACAAGTAATCGGAGCAATCGCTTTCACGGAGACGTTCCTCTCTCCTGGTGTTTAGTGTGCGTGAGGGAGCGCTAGAGGATTGTTAAAATTAGCGTGAGTGTATATATTTATACTATATATATATAAATATATATATATATATATAAACTAATAAATCCGACATAATATATATATATATGGTGTAAAAAGGACAAGCATTGACAGTGGGAAGACAACTGTGGTGGCTCTATCCTCGCATGACTTTCGGCGCCGGTCCGGCATTCCATGAATGCTTGGCCCGCGCATCATGTTACTTTATTCGAATATTAACATTATTACTTGTATCATGACTAATAATGATTAACATACACGTGCATCCACGCCCACACACGAATACACACGACATGATACACGGAGGAGATTTGGTTGGTTGTTCCTATTCTGAGACGAGAGTGGGCTTTTATCTGCGCCGGAACGATAGACCGATATAGAGAGAAAGAGAACGAAGTGAGAATCGCGTAGAGAGAAAAAGAGAGAGAGAGAGAGAGAGAGAGAGAAAGAATCGCGATGTGCTCCCAAAATGAAAACTGAAAAAAGAACGAAAAGAAAAACACTAGAATCGTAGTCCATCACAACTATCACCACTCTACCACTTGTAAAATCCGTTCTTACGCGTACATAGTTTAAAACCCCGTGACGGTCCGTCGTGACGAAGAAGTGCGTTGGGCGTTTACGTTTTCCTCCTTCACTCTTCCTTCTTTTTTTCTCTCTCTCTCTCCTTTCTTTTTTCCTTTTTTCTCGAGGACGAGAAAGTGAGAGAGTGAGAGAGAGGGAGAGAGCGGATCTGCATGTAAAAGAACGAGTTTCGCGCGAGTGACTAAATGTGTTTAATCAGGCGACAGTGCGGAGAGAGAGAGAAAAAAACCGAAATTTCAGGCAAATAGAAAGAAAGAGAGAAAGAGCAAAGTTTTAAGATAAAAGCGTCGGGAAATGCTGTACCGAATCGATCATTATTTCTTTACTCGTAATTTGTTTTATATATGTATGTTATATATAGATAATTATGAAATAGAAGACTAAGTTATTTTATCAAGTGCCCTTGCTTTGTATTATAGTCGCGTCCGTCGACAAGCCGCAGCTTCTGGGAGTAAAAGAGAGAAAGAGAGAGAGAGAGAAAAAAATAGCGTGTTAGAGTGAACGTGAGAAAGGAAGAATGATTGAGCGAACGTGTGTGTGTGTGTTGTTAAAACGTGTTGCGTCAGTTGTTGGTACAACGTGGGCACCGGGTATTGACGTCTCAATACCATCAATGTGATTGGCAAAAGTGTGGTGAGAGAGAGGAGAATACATTACAAGTCTGAAGAGTCTACTACTAGATCCGTCGCTTCAATTTTGAACAAAACAAAAAACAACAAAAGAAAATGCCAACCGTTCCCGAAATCCCGCACATCCTACTTCTCTACGAAAAAAAAAAAAAAAACACGCGGTCGGAGATGTGTTTTCTTTTAGTCAGATATATATTTTCATTTTTAATTAATGGTGCACGATATAAAACGCGACTAGAGTCTATTAAACTGGACTCTCTTTACGGGGCTCTAAACAATTTCCGGAATGGCATAAATTTTAGGGATCGTGGCCGGAGACATAACTGCCGAGTGTATGATTGTCGATTTTTCTAAGATCCATTTTTCGCTCGATAATTTATTTTCGCGCGAAGAGGGAAGGGAGGCGAAGGGGAAAGCACGCATACATTCATTAACGTGTAAGTCAACGCGAGAAAATGGTTCTTCGCATATTTTGCCGTGATATATCATTTTCATATCGAGACACGAAAAAAAAAAGAAATCGCTGAGTGAAGCTTATCAAAATTACTGCAGCTGGCCTTAAAAGATTATCATAAAGTGTGTCGTTCAACGAACATTTATGTCATCGAAACCTGCGTCGTGGTGTGACGAGAGAAATATATAAGAGAACTTAATAACTGCGAGAGAACACACGTTGGACGATGTTCGTATACTTTGCGCGACAGGAAGGATTTTTGCATTTATACACACATATCTAGAAATTCTCTTGGGAACACGATTGACGAACTTATTACGCGCGTGCATGAGAAAAAGAAAAACCAAAAGCGGGGAACGAGATAAAAACAAAAAAAAGCTTTTTATCTAGAGACGGAGCTTTTCCATTAAGCGCAATATAGAGACGAGTACCTTCCTATCTGTCAAAGTGTTACTGCGATCCGTACACTGTCAACTGTCACAATAAGATCAAACACTGTTCTCTTTTTCGATCGCCCCTGCGTGTCGGCATAGTCACGATCTTCCTCATGATAAATGAAAAAGAAAAAAAGAAGAAAAAGAAACAGGAATTGCGTCGAGGATGGTGTATGAAACGTTATAGCAATAAATTTACGTATTTGTGTATAAAAAAACTTTAAAGTTAGTAAACTTATTAATTAAATATGAACCACGCGTCACGATGTTCTATATCTGCCCCTGCTATACTTCTTTTCTTTCGTTTCGATTCTCATATCCTCTTTTTTTCTAATTGCATTCAGAAAACATAACGGTTCTGCAACCGCTGAGTGATTAATTGTACTTCTGATTGGGATATACTTTTAGATTCGCGAACTAAAAGAACATTCTAACAATAGAAGTGAGCGCTCACTCGAGACCATTGCATTTTCTGAATGTAGCCCTTCTTTTTCTCTTTGTTTTTTTTTTTCTTTTGTCAAACTGTGTCGAGCAATGAGTTGCCGAATATCTAAAAAGATAAAATATTTTATTACGTATATTTATGTATGTGAATTATATAAAAATGAAAATCGCTGAAGAGATACGTGGTGTAGATAAGAATTAGGCTGAGAACGCGTGGGTTTTAGTCGGTCGGAAGTGTCTCATGGAAATTCATGTACTCGGGCTCCGTATTATATTGGGAAATTCACTTCTTAATATGTAGCAAGTTATTGTTAAAAACGTCGCTAACTGCGATCACAATGATTTTCTCTGTTCTTATTCTACGAAACAGACAAACTACGCGCATATATTGAACTAGTGCTAGTATAATACAGTCGGAATTTTCGAGAGATTTTCTCAATGAACACACCAATAATACACGCTAAAGTTAACGAGTTTCCTCAGATTCCGTGTTTTTCTTTTTTTCTTTTTTCGTTTTTGTTCTTTCTGTCGCGGAAAAGAATTCCGTGAAAACGAAAGAAGTAGAAGAGCGTGCGATGTCACATCGAGGAAACCGACTAGCTTCCGATTCTCACATTTTAGTTTTCACTCGATCTTTCTCCCGACTGTAAATTTCAACTATGAACCCTGGTGCTCGTCGCACCGAGTATCACATACACGACTCCTCTCACTCAGCGCCTGATAGTCTAACCTTTAGTCAAACCTTTGTGTTTTTCTTTTTCTTTCTTTGCCTACAATAAAACACGAGCACGAAGTGAACCGATTATTTTATTCCACGTGTGGTCAAGTATTGTATAAAGCTTAAAAGTGAACGTCAGACTGTTTCGCTTAACTTAATTAATATTGAGCGCCGCATATAGTGGTAAGATCCATCCTATGTGTGTGTATATATGTATAATAGACATTTACCGTTGTAATTTCTTTAGTTATTATAGACGACCTCAAAGAAAAATCCATATTTTGTGACGTATGTAAAAATATATTTAAAAATTGTGTATTTCATTTTGTTCGTTTTTTCTTTTCTCTTATTTCTTTCTTATAAAATGTTTCTTTTTTTCCCAGATTTATTTGCGTGTATTTTTATTCTCGTCGGTCTCTTTTCATCTCCTTTCTTTTACCGCGAACGACGGTTATAAACGAGATTCCGGCGGCGTGACTGTAATACTATGAAAACGAGTTTCGAGCGTTGTACGAGTATGTACGAGTTTCGAGCATGTGCGATGACAATGAGATCTAAAATCCGAATAATTAATTATGTGCATTGCGCTGTGCTAAATTATTAATCTATCTAAGAATGCAGGCGGCGCCGGATGTTCCCTTCGCGACGATGCACGAGCGTGCCGCGTTCTCTTCAAATTTTTGAAAACGAGAAAACAAAAGATGTACAAAAATAAAAGAAGAAAATCGCGAATGCACTGAAAGTTTCTAATCAAATGACCGATACGACAACTTAAGATTGATAATCTCTTTGCGAAATTCACAAGTTTTTTTTTCTTTTTTCTCATTTCTTTATAATATTAGAGAACACTTTGATCTACTCGCGCAACGAGGACTGGAGTATTCTGAGCACACCCGGTACACATCAAACAGCACCGTCCACGGTGTTTATAGTTTTACGCAATATTCCACAACGCTACACGCACGCTCGAGCGATACACATTTATGTACAAGAGGGTTCGGTGTATTTGAAGAATACACCGCGAGTTCGAGTGTTGTGTTCACTCGAGCGAATCGCAATTATTACTGGAGTAAAAAGTAGAAACGTTGTACACGAACGCGCGGATCCGAAATTATTATCGCACGGATCTACGTTCATACGGCTACTTTTCTGTTTTATTTTTTTCTTTTCGCCCGAAATACAAGATACGGAAACTTTCCCTAAAAACGTGTTTGGCAGATCCTGTACGACGATCCTGTGCGCTCCGCTTAAAAGTACTAATTAACTTCGTGACCGTCACAAGAGAGAAAGTTTTTCCAAAACATTTCTTCAAAACATATACTCGCAAATTGCTTTTTAAAGGAACCACTCGCGAGAGGTTTCAATCTTGGTTTCGGATCCACCACTTTAAGCTAATTGCACCGTCTCTGGGACTTTCACAGCACGACAAAAGTTTAATCGGAATCCTCGTCGTCGGATTTCAACGCATAGGACACCGGCTTGCGCACCCGACCAGCGGTCTTTCGAGGTGGCGGCAACGGCGAATCGTCGGTCATAGTGTCATCCTCGGAATCCGATTTCTTCTTCTTCTTCTTCGGCTGCAAGAAAATTTATTTATTATTTGAGCGGAAAAATGTCCACAAACAGGAAATAATACAACGTCGTCGTAAAACTAAAAATATACGATTTTATACTTTAATATCTGTATAATTAATAATTGATAATAATTTAATACCTGTTTAGAGGAGAATATATCGTCATTATCGGAGTCCGATGATTTTGATTTCTTCTTCACTTGTCTCTTCGTTGCTTTACCACCGCCGTTCTCAGCCTTCTTCTTCGCGGGTGCTGCGACACAAAGGACCGGTGAATGAAAACAGTTACAGAACACACGCTAAAAGTGCAAATATCGATTTACCTTTTTTAGGCGGCGTGAACTTTGCAGGCGAGTCTTCCCCGGATGAGGATATCACGGGTTTCGCTTGCTTCTCTAAAGAAGAATTGCCGACCAACGAATCAAAGAGCTCCTCTGAACTTGCTATGGGAACAAAATAAAATATTCAACACACACGTTTACTCTTTATACAACTGTATACTAAATACAGAATCTCTGACAAGTCATGAAACATCTGTTGTGTAGGTAGAATTCATCAAACTAAACACAAAATTCCTCTATCATTTCGCAAACTATATAAAATTTTGAGTTATTAATTAAAGAAGATTGATGAATGATCACGCGCAATACAATAGATGACTGTGATGGCAACGTTATCCGTCGTGTGCAAACTAAAAAATAAATCTTCTACTATTTTACAAATGAGCATGTAGATTTTTAGTTATTAATTAAAGATTGGTGAATTATCAGATACCAATCTTTCTTAATTAATAACTAAAAATCTATGTTATTTGCAAAATGTAGAGAACTTTTATTCAGTTTGATTTAACGCACACAACGGCAGATATCGCTATTATAATTCATCCACCATGATTGCTTGCAAATAGTAGAGGAATTTTAAGTTTGGATTGATAATTATTGGAACTAACCATGTATATATTATTATGAGCAACTTACGTGTTGGTTGGGGTGGTTTTTTAGTAGGTTTGAAATTGTCATCCGAATCGCTCAGAACTATAGCTTTTGGTTTACTTCTGTAAAGGAAGAATAATGAGAAACAAAAAAATGTTAGTACAGTCAGTGGAAGAAAGGTAACAGCAATACTTTTACCTTGATAAATTTCAGAACGCATTCGGTATCCAATAAGAAATTTTATTATTTGAGAATTATTAAAAATATATTGTTCTATTGAGTATAAATGTATATTTTTTTGCGATATAAGCTCTTTGAAAAAAAAAATGTTGCAACCTTTCTTTCACTATCTACTATCTATATGGCTATATATCTAACTCTATTTATCGGAATAACGATTGTTTACGTACGCTTGATCGGAATCGGAAGGACTGAACATCTCGAGACTGTCGTCCGAATCCTCACTGCTCATGGTATAATTCTTCTTCACTATGAAAACAGATCTAACAGTTAATACGAGCAAGACTTTAGCGAGCATTACATATAATATTATTGGAAATCTCTCTACTAAGATCAAAATAATCGATACCTGCGGATCTGCGAGACGTACGTGGCGGAGGTGGTGAAATACTGCCGAAATCAATATTGTCACTGTCGTCTGAATCTTTATCCTTTTTCTTGCCCTCTTTCTTGATTGGCTTAAACGACAACGTTGTCTGCTTCATCCCTGTTTGTCGAAAATTCAAATATATGCATAGTTAGAGTCTCTATTGCGCTATTTAGCTAAAACTTAGCACTAATTTAGCACTGACCTTTCTTTCCGATCTTCTTCTCCATCTTCTCCGGAGAAGTTCCAAGCCTGTCGTCGAGTGATTTCATATTGGATTCGACTAAGGCATCAAAATCATCCTTATCCTCCGACGTGATTTGTTCCTTCTTCACCTAGACACAGAACAGTTTTACAGCGATACGGTAACGTAATATCTGAATTAATCGAATTAACGTTCAAATAGTAAACTTACCCGCGGCTTCTTTATACCTTCTTTCTTGTCCTTCGATACGATATCGGCCTTTTCGATCTTCTTTTTCAGCTCAACGTCAATGACGGGAACTATGCGACGTGTGTCTTCCATCTTATAGAATTTTGAGGGTGGCTTCTTGACAGCTTGCTTCGATTTGTTTTCTTCCTTTCGTTCTTTCTCTTCCAGCTACAAACAAAGAAGCCTCATAATAATTAAGGAAACAGAATCATCTTTCATTTCATGAAAAAATCTAAATTTTCTCACCTTATTTAATTCGCTCAACAAATTGTCCAAATCCTCTTTCCACAAAGAAACTGGCGTGCGAGCTTGTAGTCTCTTTAGCTCTGCTACTTTCTCGTCCCGTTGTCGCAGCAAATCGTCCTTCTTCTCCTTCGTCAAACTCCACATCGTCATTCCGAGAAGATAATCGAAATTTTCTTTTTCCATCGTGGTCGCGGTCGCGGTCACACCACTTTCATCATCATTCTCCGCGACTTCTTCCTATTTGTTTGCGACAATATTAATTTGACGATAAAATTGTGCAGTTGTCGATATAAAGGTTTTTCATGAAGACAACCACGATCCAAAGTATCTCATCGATCGAAAATTCCCTACTTATTTCCATTAAATGATAGGGAAGTTCAAAAGATTTGCCGAAAGATTTTATACTCGTTGAACAATGGTTATATTCATGAAAAGACCCTCAACTCGTTATGTTTGCATTGGAAGTTTTACATACTGTTTTTTCCTATAATAACTTACTTGATCCTCCTAATGTAGCAGAACAAATAGCGTACAGTAAATTATTGTGTTTCTGCTTTGCAAAAAGAATCCTTACAAAAATCTTCTCTACTACTCGGTTTACTCACCAATACTTGCTCCCTGTTTTGTGACAATTTCCACGCCACCACTGGGTCTGACTCGTAATTGCGCCTGATTAATTCCGCAATCATGTCCTTCTTCTTTTTATTTTCAATCACCAAGGTGCCGTCACACTTCTCCAAGATAAAGCGTGCCTGATTTGACAACTTCGCCGCCTCTGCTTGTAAAACTCCCTCCAGATAATCTTTCCTCTTATTATACATGTCCATTCGTACTTTGTAGAATCCCTTCAGTATTTGCATCACGCTGTCGTACTTATTTAGGCATTGGTTCTCGTCGAATGCGCACTGCATAAAGATACATTGTTAAACATACTTCCGTTATGTGATATGACTGACATAAGCTACGTTTGGGGAGACGCTATTTAGCGCTATGAGTGTCCTTGTTCAACTTTCAGGAACAAACAAGGACACTTATAGCATTAAACAGCGTCTCCCCGAACGCAACCATAGTGACATATGCCGATTTTACCATAGATGTTATTGTCATCGTTGTTTGAATCTTGAATGTCTTATGAAGACCATCTCTCTCCAGCTCCAACAATTTGTCACGGTTCAATATCACTATAAAGTGCACCGCTGTGTCTGTGTTATATTCCTTGTAGTCCCTAGTGTAATAAAATAATGATAAAGTATGTAGAGAATAAAAAGAAGATTTCTATATTTTGGTTGCACAAACGACTTACGTAATAAGGGCAGGCGTTTTGTCGGATCCATGCAACATGGGCTCTAACACGGTCTCTTTGTAAGTTTGTGTCCACGTTCCGATGGGAAGCTCGGTGATCTCCAACTTGTCCGGTCCTATCACCGATATCTCTCCGCTTATGACATAACGATAGTCTCCACAACTCTCCACAACGCCTTTGAAATTTTTGTAATACGGCGTCTGAAAAATTAACAAGTATCTCGATATTTTATTATTCTCAAGCGTGCGCACGCGCGCACACGCATACACACACATACATCCAATATACTTATTATAGAGATATATAAAATGATAATGGAATCTCTAAATTTCATTATTACCATAGGCTTCGGATCGATACCCTCCATCATTCTCTGCAAATTCTCGATGATTTCACGCGGATTATAATTCGGAATCTTTGTCATCCACCCAGTGCCGATACCGTCAGCTCCGTTTACCAACACCATAGGAATCACAGGTATGTAAAAGACAGGTTCGATCTTTTGATTATCGTCATACTCGTGCCTCAAAAGCGCATCATCGTGTTTGTGGAATATATACCTCGCCAATGGACTGTGCGAAAAGAGAAAACATAGACAGATAGTCGTGTGTAATTTTTCTTCGTACACAAATATCTACATCAAACAGTCAGCATAATATGAAACTTACCTGAGCATGGTAAAAATGTATCTCGGACTGGCAGCGTCTTTTCCTCCGGCCAGTCTTGTGCCGAACTGACCGATGGGCTGCAGTAGATTAATGTTGTTGCTGCCGACAAAGTTCTGCGCAAGATTGATTATAGTTGCCATCAGGGACGTCTCACCATGATGATATGCCGAGTGCTCAGCAACTGAACCCGCCAATTGCGCTACTTTCACTTCGCGTTTGTCATTGCGCTTCAAGCAAGTGAACATCACCTTCCTCTGACCCGGTTTGAAGCCGTCGATCATGTTCGGAATGGACCTCACATTGTCGTAATTGCTGTACAACACCAGCTCAACATTAATGAAGTCTGAGAAGGAAACAGCGCGCGTGTCTTTCTCATAGAGATAACGTTCGCCGAGACCGATTTCCTTTCGCCTCTTTGTCTCATTCATGTGATTCATCAGCCAGTCCTTACGTTGGTCTACGCATTTCTTGCTAAACGCCATAATGATATTCTGATCGTCCTGTTCGCCATCGTACCGGAAACGTATTCGATGTCTCGCCATATTTTCGAAGTACTCTTTTGCCTCTTTGGCAGTGGAAGTACCCAAACCTGTGTGAACGCAAATTATGTCAGTAGATGCCTAACGTAATATCTCATAGTATATATCTCATTAATTGATGAATGTATATATATATTTTTATCATTTTTAGATTTTCATTATTTTAAACACCTTTGTAGTATTTGATTTTGTACGTATGAAAGTTCTCCGTTTCCTTCTTCCACATTTCGAATTCCGGTAGTGAGAAGAATGACAGTTGCTGACTGCCCTTCGTGGCCTTTACGATAGGCGTAATGAACTCTTCAATGAAATTTAGTTTCAATAACGACGGCCAGTTATGGTGAATAAAATTAATCAGGAGACCTTTGATATGCGAGCCGTCCTGTAAAAACGCAATATACACGATAAATATGTACAATATGTATACGATAAATGTTATACAGCATATATTTATGTAGCGCGAGATTTCACCTGATCCTGATCAGTCATAATCATCATCTTTCCATAGCGTAGTGTCTTCAAATCTTCTCGAGTCTCATATTTCTTCTTATATTGAAGGCCGAGAATCTTTATCAAATTATTAATCTCAGCATTCTCTAGGATTTGTTTGTGCGTAGCTTCCCTCACGTTTAACATTTTACCTGCGATAGAAGTTTTGTTATTACTACACCATAAAACTTATATCTATGTTTCTTTTTTTTTCAATACAACGAGAATTTACCTCTCAATGGAAATATGCCATATTTGTCTCTGCCTATAGAAGCGATACCAGATACAGCCATTGTTTTGGCTGAATCTCCCTCAGTTAATATGAGGGTGCACTCCAATGATTTGCCAGTTCCTGCATCGTTGGCGTCTTCCAACTTGGGGATACCTGCAGAGAACAAATAATCGTTAAATTTCTCTCGATTAAACATCTACATAAAAAAAAAGAATGCAAGACAATCTTACCTTGAAGTTTTCTTTGTTTTGATTTAGGACCTAGCTTCTGAAGCTGGCTGTCAGCTTTGAATTTTGCCCAGGACAGCACTGCTTCCACAATACCGATTTTAGTGACCTACAAGAATAGAAAAATGAATAAAAAGTATGAAGAGAATCTAATAAGAAGTTAAGGTTCAAACATTTATGGAAATATATAGATATTTGTATTTACAGAGGCGATAAACTTATCAGTGAGTGTGCACTTGGAGCCAAAGCTTTTCGCCTGCAAAGTCATGTTCTCTTTAGTTTGCGAATCAAATGTAGGATTGTTGATGAGACAATTAATGAAGATCCACAAATGATTCTTGATTTGAAACGGTTTGATGGCCACGCCGGCTTTGTTCTTCTTCTTCAGTGTCTCGATCAACTGTTTCACTATTAGCTCCGTTACATGATCGACGTGTCTACCACCCTGGTGACATATATGAACGATTTGATATATTCGGGATAATCTTTCGTGTCTCGCGTGAAGTTTATTGTACACAATTTCATGGCTTACCTTCGTTGTAGCGATACTGTTTACAAACGACATTTGTTGGAATCCTTTGTCGGATAAAGTAATAGCCACCTCCCAACGTGGACTGCAATTCTCATATATAATTTTTAGTGGATTACCAACGTCATCCTCCTTGCCCTTAATATAAAAGTCAACGTAATCCTTAAAATTCTTCACTGGGACTCGAGTGCCGTTCAGATAAACTTTGACCCCTTTTGAAGATGCTGCTACATCGTACGCTCTGCGGGACATAAGAGCTACGATATCTTCGTCTAGCGATTGCATCTTAAACTTCGATAGATCTGGGGAAAATGTGACCTTAGTAAAATCTTCGCCGTGGTATTCCTTAATCCTGGGCTCGCTGGCTTTCCCCATGTTATTACCCCACGTCTGCAAAAGAGATGTCGATATAATATATCGAGAGAAAAAGAGAAAGAGATAAAAATATTAAGGGACTGTACTTACTTGCTTCAAAGATTTCTTATATTCTTTTGTCGCAGTTTCGACAGTAAAACGATGGCTAAAGATATTACACAATTTGGCGCCATAACCATTTCGCCCACCAGTCACTTTCTCTTCTTCATCATCATAGTTTGATGATGTTAAGAGATGACCAAATATCATGGTAGGTACATACATGTTTTCCTCCTTGTGTACCACAACAGGGATACCTTTGCCATTATTCCATACAGAAATTGTATTATTCTCACTGCAACAGCGCATTACAGTGACATTTATCTAGTGATACAATTTAAATTGATTTTCTTTTTGAGATTTAAGAGCAAATTTTTATTAAAGAAAACCTTAACAGAAGTGAAAAAGAACTTACGAATCGATGTCAATTTTGATCATATCCATCTTGGGATCACGTTGTTTGTTATCAGCAGCATTCACCAGGATTTCATCAAAAATTTTATACAATCCAGGAACATACTTGATATCCTTCTGCACCATCATGTCCTTCTCCTTGTCAAAGATCCACATCATCTCTATCACTGGTTCCACAGAACCAATGTAAGTGTCTGGACGCAACAAAATATGTTCCAACTGAGACTTCTTCTGGTAGATGCCTTCAATGGTTTTCTGCTTCGGGCCGCTGTCCCCAGCCCCATTCTCTATGGTTGTACTCATTTTGCTATGTTGTGTTCTCTGATACCTATAAATCGATAATAAATTATTATACTCTTGATCCACATCTAATCTCTCATCAATCCGCAAATCTGTGTTCAAATTATGGGTCTGTTTTCTATAGGTCTGTTCTTTGTAGCTACATTGGCTACACTAGTTGAGAAAGTGACTGGAGCATTCTTTGTAGCAGCATTGCTATTCTTTGTATCAGTGTAGCAACTAGTGCAACAGTTCACTGTACTGCTTGCAGTAGGTCTGTTCTTTGTACCTGCACTGTTGAACTAGTGCAATATATTGAAGTCAGACAAATATAAGTTTAAAATATAAGTACAATAAGTTTCTTCACTCTAACTTATTGCACTAGTTCAACAGTGCAGCTACAAAAAACAAACCTTATTGCTGAACTAGTGTACACTTCTGAAACTTAAAGAGACAAATATACAGATAAAATTTGATGGGAGAAAAATGAAAGAGATAACTAATGCAGCCAGTTCAGCAATAGAAAACAGACCCTATGACTCAAAGTTAGATTTAAACTCACGAGTACGACTCGAGAAAAACTCTGCTTTGCAAAAAGGAGCTATTACCGAAAGCCCACGGCGAAGGTCGCGGTGTGTCGTAAAGAGCTTTGAAAAATATGGCGGGAAAAGATCCTCATCTAATTGGCACGGTTTCGAGGGGGACGACGACGCCGTTGTCTCTCGGCGACGCGAACACCTGTCCTCCCCCCGCTCACAGGCCAAGGGAGCGAGAGCGCGAGGCGAGGGGATACGGTGTAATCGCGTTCCCCGGAGGTCGATCGGCGTCCCTACCTTCAGTGATCGAGACGAGAGTACGCTGATCGGCGTAGCGTCGGCGGCGGCTGCTTCTATGAGCGCGGGACGTCCATCGGGGCCGCGAACGCTAATTATTGGCACATCACTAGCACCACTGATCGCCACACACCGCCGCTCGTCGACAATGATTCTCCGTGTCGGTCGCTCACCTCTCTGCGCCGTATAACATCATTCATTCACGCACAACAGAAAGCCTAGCAGTACGTATACTCTACTCCGTATCTAGACGCGTCTCGCTGTTCGTTCGCGCTGCTTGGTTCGCTTCCGTTGAGACAGGGTCGCCAACATCAGTGTAGAAAGATCAACGCATTGGAGATTGAGGATTGCGAATTGAAGATTGGGTACGTTCAGCAAACTCAACAATTCCACCATGAGCCGCGGTCCGAAAAGCGCTCACAGCACTATTATGGCTCCTGCACACAGGACGGTAATGCTTGCTGCGCAACGGAAGTCCACGCGACAGCCAATCAATATGTTGTTTTTCCGTAAGAGCTAGAAGGTTATTACAGAAAGCAGCATATTGATTGGCTGTCACGCGAACTTCCGTTGTGCGGCAAGCATTACCGCGTCCTGTATGCAGGAGCCATTAGATATCAAAAGTGCAAGCAACGCGAATAAATAGTAGATGGAGTTCCTGCGACATGTCAATTACGATCTTGGGGTCCTATTCCATAACCATTTATCGACAATTGTCGGATCGGTAGTCGTGGTTGCGCAGCCTATGATATAAAAAAGCGCAACTATATACCTATGATATAAAACTGCGCAACGACGTTTACCGATCCGACAATTATTGGTAAGTGGAATAGCTGTAATAGCTCTTGTACACAGGACGCGGAAATATTTGCTGCGCGGCAAGAAGCGACGTGGTAGCTAATAATCTTCCAGCTCTTATGGAAAAAAGACACGTTGGTTGACTGTCGTATCGCGGCAAGCGTTCTGCGTCTTCTGAGCTGCGTTCCAAAATTCTACTCGGTAGATAGAGTACATTTAATTGACCAATCATGATAAAGAAATCCTAATTATCTTTGTTCTTCTTGGTCAATTACTCGTCGAGTAGCATTTAATTGACCAATAAGAACAAAGATAACTAGGATTTCTTTATCATGATTGGTCAATTAAATGTACTCTATCCACCGAGTAGAATTTTGAAATACAACCCAATAATACAGAAACTATAATTCTCAAGGCGGGAATACAGACTTTTGTATAATGCATAAGGAAATCAAAATTAAATCAATTAGAGTCCTGCATTTTCATCCTCAAAAGATGATTAACCCCTCCCCCAGTCCTTTTTCAAGACTATCTTGATTTATAACGTTAGAAGGGAATGCATGCCAACATTACTGTAAAGTAAGTCGAAATGAAAAAATATATCCAAAAAATGACACTTTCTTGTAATCAATTGGACACACCTCTAAAATATTTCTTCCTTTTGCTCTAACAATTAATATACTGATTGTTGCTCAATTGATTGAATTATTTTTTAAATCTTTTTATTTCGACATACTTTGTAGAAATTTTTGGAAAGCATTTTTTCGCTTTGGACGTCATTGATCAAAAGTTTTGCGGTAAGGAAGCAGGGAGTAGATTAAAATAGATACATTACTGACACACGCACGCTTGCACTCTAATAAGGGATTCATTACACGATCTTCCTTCTTTGTTGTTCGCTTACATGTAGATAACGCGCTTTACATTTTTCTAGCAACTTGTAGTTTTTGAGAGAAAATTAGATCCTTAATGCCGGTCAGATTAGTCAGTCGATAATTTTTCTAGCGAAGCTCGTATAACGCTTGCATTTTTCTCTCTTCTACCATTTTTAAACATATACCTCTATTTTTTGAACATGTACAAGAGAAATGATATTATGTTAGAAAGAACAAAACTTAATACAATTATGTACAACATAATGATGTTATATTTTGAAAGATATAACATAATATATGGTAAAGAGGAAAACGCAACTTACGTTAAACAAACGACGCGTCCGTTTAATCGATCAAAATTTTTGAAATTAATTTTTATGATTAATCATAAATATAATTTAGCCAAAAACTGCTTACATCTGCAGCATATCCGAGTGTCAAGATAAAAAATATGTAAATAGGTTACAATGTAAATAATGTCGAGCGATGCACTCTTCAGTAACAACGCAAATATTTTTATATTGCGTGTTACCGTGTTTACATATCTTTTTATTTTATATATATAACTATCTTATCTCATTTCAACTATTATACGGCAACATTATTTCTTTCAAGATTGTTTATACTGTTGAATTACTGCACATCTTTGTTCAGTATACATTCAATGTTGTCAGTGATTTTCTTTTATTTATTTTTTTTTTTATATGCTTACTTTTCTACCGCAATCGCACAGTTAAAAAGGAGAAAAACAATTACAGGCTTAGGCTGCAAACGGCAGAAAGGGAAGCATATAGACGTGGAGTTAAATATAAAATGAAATCGCTAACTGCTGTCTCGATTATGGTTTCTCGGTATAGTGGTTTGTTGAAATCTTCTGGAAGGGACGCGGTAAGATGGAATGATGATTGGACGAGCGACGAGATCTGTAGTGAGGAAGAGAACCTGCGAAGAAAAGCAAAAGTAGACTATGTAATTTATAATATATATTTAAAAATACATATTGTACATGTATAATTAGCGTCACGATAATACGATAATGGATGGACCATAACAAAAGTCAAGGGAATTTAAATTAAATTCATATTTCCTGTTATAAAAGTAAAAACATTGCGGATATCCATTAACACATTCACAAATGAACGGAAACGGACACTGATATATCTCGCTGTAATTCCAAAGACTAAGTGTGAAAACGCATTCATTCTCAGGGACCGCGGCAACTCACCGGCGATTACAACGCGAATTGCACTGCGGTCGCGAGTGAGGATTTTCGTTAGTATGGCTGGTGCCTCTGATTTTGACGACCACCACCTCCTCTTTGCTTGCCGCCATAGCCTGAGCCTCCTGAAACATGCCATCACCATACAGTTATTACAGCAGGTTAGAACAAGTTTCACTTAAATTATTAATTAACTACATTTATGAATGAACAAGTCGACTCTTTGACAATATAACACACGAACAGCTCGATATGTTATTTTATTCCAAGTAACGAAGGGGAGGTGGTACGGTATTATTGCTACAACTCTATTATCATTGTTACTAATACTACAACTACTACTATCATTACTACTAGTACTACAGATAATGTAAGAACAAAGAGGCTACAGGCTAAGGTAGTAAGCTGCACACTATTTGGAACGATACCCTTTATTTTTTACAGATATGTGAGGATATTTCATCAGTTAATCCATTTTTGTTACTGCAATAAGCAACAGTAAGCAACATGGACTAACAAGCGACGAAGTGACAAGCATGGAAAATTAAATGGGATCTATTTTTAATCGAATGTACGTCAATGAATCTACAGTTGAAATTGACATCGAAGCTACTCGCTACACTTTCGCGCTCGATTTATCTCGAAATGGGAGTCAGGTCCAAGCCACTTCCCGCAGCAGCTCAAGGATCAGCTGTAAGGATGGGTATAAAAACGACACAACTTCTAGCGGTGGCAAAGCGTCAAATTGCGCACAAAACAATAGAAAAAGATAGAGCAAAAATATAAGATCATGGATAGAGTATCAAGGAACGCTGATGCGTACCTTTACCACCGCGTGCACCACCGCGCCCGCCCGTGTAGCCACCTTCGTAATTACCACCGCCATAGCCATAGCCATCTGCGTTTCATGAAACACACGATACAAGAGACAATGGAGTCAACATTCGCCTGTACCGTCGTACAGCGAACAATGGGGGAACAAAAATTGATAAGGAAATTAAATATACCGCAATCTTCCAAGAAAGAGTCGATGAGAGAATCTACGTCCCAGAATAAACACGGAATATATTCACTTCCGAAGGATCACCAGAATACTGATCGTTTGACACGACAGAGAACAACATCTCACCCTGCATGTACAGGCTGTCTGATGCAAGATACGCCGTGAGCAAGTAGATTAGCTCAAATTGAACAAAAAATTTCCTCTATCTTAAGCAATCTTTTGCTCGACTTAGGTTTCGACCTAGTCTACTTGCACACGTGCGCCGGCGAGTTAGACATCCTGTATAACTTACTTACATAAACGAGCAAATCGACTTGCTGGAAGTGTGTACGAGAGAGAAACATAAGGATAATTACCGCCGTAGCCGCTGTAGTCATAGCCGCCGTAACCTCCGTAACCTCCACCGTAATAATCGTAACCACCATAACCGTCGTAGCCACTTCCGTAGCCACCCTGACTGTAACCTCCGCTGTAGCCTCCACCATAACCTTGCCCCCAACCACCTTGTCCTCCGAATCCACGACCTCGTCCTCGAACGCCTCTACCACGACCCATCATTCCGCCGCGCATTCCACCCATTCCATCTAACTTGGGTGTCGCCTTCTTTACGTCCACCTAGAGAGTTCAAGATCAATTAGAGGAGGGAAAACAAACGGTTGTCAGTTGCTGATTACCGCGAGCGAGCGAGAAAGAGAGCGGGAGATAGATGAAAGTTCAACGAGTGTTTGTTCGTAGCGATAAAGGGTCAAGAAAACTCACCGCTTTTCCATTAATAGTCTGTTTTGGTATCTTGAGTAACTGGTTGACTACCTGCTCTGATTCGAACGTAATAAAGCAGAACCCTTTTCTCTGGTTCTTTGTCTTGTCGAACGGCATTTCCATCTCGACAATCTGAAAAGTCGAGCGTGAATCAATTTCGCTCCGGTTACTAGTTTACATATAACGAGTAATACTTACATTGCCAAATTGTGAAAAGAAGTTTTTGATGTCGTCATCGGACATCTCCGTCGAGAGACCGCCAACAAAGATTTTCCCGTGTCTGGCCTTTGCCTTCTTTGGATCTACCTTTTTATTGTTGATAACGTGATCACCAGCCGACATAATCTAGTAGAAAAAACAATGTCATTTGGTTGTCGCATGAACAATATTGCTTTTGTTGTATTTGAAAGTACCTTATCGAGAGCTTCGGCTTTGGCGAAGACAATGAAGGCGAAACCTCTCGATCTCCCCGTATTAGGATCTGTCTTTACATTAATACTCTCAATCTCTCCGTATGTGCTAAAGTGATCTCTTAATTCCTCTGAAATGCAGAAGCATGTCGGGTTAAAAACGTTGAATTTACTGAAATATATACTAACTAGAACATGCGCTGCCATATAATATTTACGGTAAGCAAACGAGATGAGAGTGAGATCACTCTGTTGTTTCCTCATCCTAGTCTAGACCACAGTGTGGTTGAAAATGGTGATGATGAGATACAATAGGATTAACAAAGAGTAGAAAAAACATAGTGCTATTCGAAACACCTATCCATACTCTCTCTCATCTCGCACAAACAAGCAGGCCTAGCGCTCGTTTCAGTTTGTACATATTTCAGTGACTCGATCTTTTGTCGGGATAAAGCATAGCTTTATCCTTGACATCCTTTACACGGTTTATTAAATACACGATACAGGACTTACTGTCAGTTGTTTCCCAGCTCAAGCCACCGACAAATAACTTTCTGTAAACAATAAGCAGAAATAAAATTTTTAAATAAATGAAATGGAAGAATAACTTTCTTGCCGCCCTAACTTTCCGACCGCTATCGCGGCGCTTACGACTGCGGTTTATATTATCTCAATTAAATTTTTTGCAGGCACACTATGTAAGTAAATAAAAGAGGAATAGAAATTGAATGTGCCTATATCAATCATATAGAGTCCTGATTACTTCCGGTCAACCTGCAAAGCAATGGAACTAATTTATTTTTACCAAAAAAGGCTCGGCATATAGTTCTTTCTTAGAGAGACACTGCACTAACGAAGCTAATTGTTTGCAAAAAATTTACGCAAGGCGACTCAAGAATGTACACTCCTGCGCAAAGTGAAAGTAGTATCAGAAACTTAATAGAGTGCATTTGATGATCCATGATGCTATCTGGAGAAAGGGCACTGCAAAACAATTTTGATGTATTTATACAAATGAAAGATTACATATTACTCGTATTGGAATTCCAATTGCAGCAACACAAAAACGCAAGGTGTTGTCCTACATATGTAGATTTGGAAAAATAAACACGTTCCTTGCATGAGACTAAACAAGATAGTTACATTTCTGACAGCAAGAGGTAAAGTTACAAATACCATCCCTAGAACAAATGAACTCTGATAAAGTTATACGTACGTTATATTATACAAAAGTTACATACGCAGTTGCTACGCGATAGCGTAGTGAAATTGAAGTTACGAGGAAGACGGCTTAGCGCGCACCACAGGCACAACTCGATTTGAACACCATAACATTGTTCGTCAAAAACATTAAAGGAAAAGTATTCTTTTTAGAAAAAGAGGTACATATACATATGCAATGTATGTGTATTATGTGTGTGTATGTGTGTATGTACGTGTGAAGACAACGCATCAAAAGAGAGCAAAGTACTGTTATTAAACGATGATCCAAATAAGCTACAACTCCAGTTGACATACAGCTGCCCCTAAAGAAAATATAAATAACTTCTCTAACGTAACAAATCCCGATTATATATTAATTGGCCCAAATTAGTGGCACGTGGTAGGATCGACTGCAACTCTATTGGAAAGCTAAAAATTAATTTCCATATGTTACAGATTAACGTTGGTTCACTGATGCACGACTTTTTTGCTCTGTTCTTATCTCTCACGCTCTTTTTGCTCGTTTCCGTTCGTTATCTTTATTTGATTTCTCTCTAAGCAACATATTATATCGGCACAACTCGTTACATTCAGGCACTCGTACAATTCATGGCTCGTCGAAAACGAGGCTTACATTTATACACGACTATCTCTCGAGTCTTGAGATACATTTTTCCCGTACTTTCTATCGCATTTTTCAAGTAACAAGCTGCAATATGTACACTTTGCTGTTTCTTTTCCTCTATATCTTTCTTTTAACTTTTATTTTTTCCGGCGGTGTTTAGTCTGTACTTATATACGTTTATCAATAGATATATATATATAGATATATATCATTTTTGTATATCATCTAGGGCTGATGATAAATACCATGGGTACCAGTTACTCGCCAGTATCTGTTGTCAGGTCAGGTCACAGTTAGCCGGTTGCAAGCAGCCCGCCATAATCGCACCGGGACGTTTGCCACCTGCAGACCAAGTCACATAAACTGTGTTAATGGCGTTCAGCTATCAGAGGTGTTTACATTGGCCCTAGTATTTCTGTGCATTGTTCATGCCCAATATAATCCAAATATCACTCGACAGTGGAAATTACTCTACGTATTATCCAGCAGGTAACGGTACGTGCCACTGCATGACACACACATTTGATCTCAAGAGCAATTTGACTCGACTTCCAGCGCTTTCGTGTCGCCAAGGAACATGATGGACTTGAACTCGATGCGGATCGCACAATAATTCCGACCCCGAAGTCATTCACGAGGCTTCGCACTTCAATTCTGAGATCCCAGACAAGCATGGACGCAATTGTCAATCGTTTTGAGCAATTGACTAATCTGAATTTGACTGTAATGTACTGTGAGAATAAGGACAGACGACTCGCAACCGATCAAACTGGATTTCAAAATTATACTCTATAAAAAAAAAGTATACAATACACAAGTGTTATATATTCTTACAAAATATATATATAAGTAAGATCTACAATATACATACAAACTCTTTATCAACGCTGAAATTGTGACTGCTCTCCGTTAATTATAGGACTAGAAGAGTTAAACGGCTAAGTGAGAACAGAAAGAAGAAATTTACAAAAAAGTTAGAAAAGCTTGGAAACAGATAAACACATACCTCGTATAACTGTAGCACATGTATAGTCAGAAGTATATAATTAATACAGTAATTAATGCATAATTATATATTTACCTTATTTTACTTGTGTGACAAATATATAAAATATATATATGTATTATATATATATATATATGTATGTATATAGGTCTCAAACAAACCGCAAGTGTATTATCAACACGATGCGGCAAATTGTTCAACAATTCACATTTATTATTGTATCAACAAATATTCGTTATTCCATTCATTGCACAAATTGGGAGCATTGCTTAGTTAGACTCGTAGATGTCTATGTGATAAAAATACCAAATACAAAGCTGCAAAGTGACGTTAGATCTGTTTGCGTCTCGTGTACTTTCTGCGCTTCGAGGAAAGCAAAAAAAAGAAAGAAACGAACGCGGACTTTTCTATGGAAAAAAAGGAGATAAAAAAAGAGATGAAAGGAAAACGGCGGAACGCGCGGAAGCAGCACGCACAGGAGAAAGTGCAGAGTACACTCGACGTGAACGAATCTACATATATATGCATCTTTCTCTCTCTTTCCTATTCGCTTCCTTCTTTCCTTCTTCTCTCTCAAGCCGCGTAAAAAATCCCGACACGTCTCGTACGCCGCAACGATAACGCGAATTCCGATCGTACTCGCGTCGGGGGCACCGGCGATAAAAAAACGAAACGCAGCCGCGAGTGCGTTGTGGACGTACGGCGCGAAGGAATCGCACGGATATCCGTTCGCAGGACCGATGCGAGTGGATTACGTTTTGTCGGCGCGGCCTTCGCCATTTTGTTCGACTCGTCCAAAGAACGAGAAGCCCCCGCGGCGGAAGGGGACGCCGCGCAATTCCGCGGGAAAACGCTCGCAAAGTGCGACGAGCGCGTGTCGGCGGGCCGAGGGGGAAGCGCGGAAATGGGCCCCGATCACGACAGATCGCGGCCACGGACGGGTAAAAGCGCGAGATTTTTACCTGTCCTCCTGCGAGTCCTGGCCATTTTCTACGGAGTCTCCGCCACCACCGATGCCGCCGCTCTCAGCATCGCCGTTCTTGTCGAAATTTTGCTCCGCAACATCCTCACTGAAGTCCTTCTTCTCTTGCTGGTCAACCATTGTTTACGCTGCTTAAATTACACACGGTTGTATCGACGGAGAAAGAAAATAATAGTGCGAACACTATAATTCTAACGATAGCGATAGGACACACCAACGACAAAAACGGGACAGTGAACGCCCGGATGTCGGCTTTTAGGACGCCGACGTGTGTCACCACCTGTTGGGAGGAATGTGCAAACGCGAAGGCCATGGACCAATGGCCGCGTTCAGTAGAACAAGTGATCAGTAAGCGCTCAGGGAGCTCTTGTATATGATTTGGCATATTCTTTTAGATCTCCAACTATACTCCAATCAGATGCAAGAGCTCACTGAGCGCTTACTGATCACTTGTTCTACTGAACGCGGCCATTCACAACGCGAATGAACAAAGGGACGTCTACGTTGGAAGTAAGCAGTAAAGGCCTTCACACACAATTGACATAAGGGACGTCTACATTGGAAGTAAGGGCTATCGCACACAATTGACATAACTGCATATGCATAGCATAAGATCGTATGGACCAATGAGCATCGAATATTAAGCATCGAACACCAATATGGCGACTTAATACTCGATGCTCATTGGTACATACGGTCTTATGCTATGCATATGCAGTTATGTCAATTTGTGTGCGATAGCCCTAAATAGCAAGAAGTAAGAAGTAAGAGTAAGAAATTGACCAACCACAGTCGAATGTGAGAAGAATAATCAACTATGATTGGTCAATTTCTTATTCTTACTTCCTACTTCTTACTGCTTACTTCCAATATAGACGTCCCTTAACAGTAACGTAAGCATACCGTAAGAATTGACCAATTACAATCGAGTATTCATCAAAATGGCGACCTTATGGTTCAACGATTCTCAACATGATTGATCAATTCTTACGGTACGTCTTACGTTACTGTATGTCAATTTGTGTGTAAGACCTTAATGCACGATTCACACCGCGTCCATTGTCCGACGTACGACGCCCGATATCCAATAAAAGAATAGCTTTCCAATGGAGAATTGGATTCTATATTAGAAAGCTGTTCTCCTATTGGATATCGGACGTCGTACATCGGACATCGGCCGCGGTGTGAATCCTGCATAGGAAGTAAGAATAATGGCTCCTGCACATAAGACGCGGTAATGCTTGCCGCGCAGCGGAAATTCGTGCGACAGCCAATCATAAGCATGAATGGTATTATTGACGCTTCTGATTGGCTGTCGCAACAAGAGTTGTAATACAGGATTCACACCGCGTCCGATGTCCGACGTACGACGTCCGATATCCAATAGGAGAACAGCTTTCTAATAGAGAATTCAATTCTTCATTGGAAGCTATTCTTTTATTGGATATCGGATATTGGATATTGGATATCGGATATTGGATATCGGCAATGTGAATCCTCCATTAATCGACTATAACTACACCAACTTATACTATCTACACCCGAAATAAAGTATATGATAGGTTCGTTTTACAGCTACACATTTCCAAAATATCTTGTAAAATCTTTTCATTTCCTTTTCTCTCTTTCAAGTGCTGCATCTACTGTGTTTTAAGTGCAGCAATGCAACTTGATGCGGTTATAAAATCGAACCTATTTTTATTTGGTTTTTTTTTCCAAACCGATTCATATTTCGAAACTTACCGAGAAGAATCCTGGTCACACTCCGTCGTTGTAATTGACTGTCTCGCCGATGAGCGCGCTGTGAAACGTTCATAGCCGCAATAAGAAAGCGCGAGTCTCTAGCGTGCACAGCGATCATTTTCAAAGGTCAAGTCACTAAGCGGCGCCGAGTCAGACGAAGTTGCCGCAGCTCTTGTAATTTGACAGCTGACAACTCCACTGGGGCTCTAGGCCTCAGATACAATGACGTAGGCCAACCACCGGCTCGTATTCCGAACAGATCGCACACACATACACAAAATATCACACACTTTATCAATTGACGGCCCGGGAAAAATGATACTGTGCTAATTACCTTTTGACGCACGAACCAAAGGATAACTCAACACGATGCGAATTTGGCATGGATAGTGTTCTCGTGGCCGTCACTTCTTGAAGACTGTACAGGTAACAGAGAATAAATATATGTATGTTTTATTGATGTTCACTCTCATTAACAAGCCCGATGATGTTTGTCCGACAGACGTTGTCTCGAAAAAGCTACATTATGGCTTCTGCTACGGAGCAGCAGCAGCAGCAACAGACCACCCTGGAGTTTTATCAGGCGATGGCTGACTTCAAAAACATGTTTCCACAGATGGACGATGATGTGATAGAGGTGAGAGCCACATTCTTCCTGACAATCGACACCGGCTGTGTTTAGCAGAAAAAATTGCTTAGCAACTGTTGTAAAATTCATAAATCTAACTGCGGTGTATGCTCTTAATCTTGACTGAATCTACAAGCATATATTAATCAGATTTACAAATTTTATAAGTTGCAGAGCAACCTTTTCTGCTAAATGCAAATATTGTATCATATTCTGGTATATCTGTAAGCAACTTGTCTATTGTATATTGTTTTTAATTTATCCTATTAACACTTAGGCTGTGCTGAGATCCAATCAGGGAGCTGTGGACACCACAATCGATCAGTTGCTCACTATGAGCACTGATAACGAGAATGAGAAGATCAGGAGTGAGCTGGAACAGAAGGAGGAACTTCCTAACGCGACCAAATCACCCAAAAAGGACTCTAGTAAATCGTTAAAAAATATTCACAAGTGGCAACCCCCGTTGTTGGGACCATTGCCGGACACCTTTCTAAGACTTCCCCAGCAAACATCTGATGATACCTTCGACCTGGCATATCCACAGGAAAACTCTATGATGGAGGACGAGAGAATCGCCATGTTTCTTCAGAACGAGGAATTCATGGCTGAACTTCGTTGGAACGAAGATTTCTTGTCCACGTTAGAGCATGGTAAACGATCGCGCATTCGGATGCAAGAGAGCATAATTGCCCAACGAAACTTAAATCCTCCTCTCTTTTCCCTCGTAGACTCGAAACTGGAGAAATGCGGCGGTCAGACTGGTCATGATGACGAGGATCTGTTTAAAGAAAGACTGAGAAATATGGGCAAAAGTCAGTACGCGCAAAAGAATGATCAGATTAACGATATCTGCAAATTACGTGATCTCTCCTGTTTCTAATGACGATCGTTATTGCAGTGTCTCGACGTAAGTTCGCGCAGCTTACGAAAGTATTCACTCGCAGTAAAAAACGTGGCGGCAGGCAATTGCTGCCGCCGACGGCTTCCTGCGACGATCTCTTGGATCCGGAGGAGTCATCCAGACCTCAATCCTAAGGTGAGGCACTCGTACCCACGATCTGGTAGGAACACCCGTCTCACCTCGTCGGGGAGATCGGAACTCGGTGAACAAAGCTTAATGTAACTTAGATGTCACGTCGGAAACAAGCATATCTATGTCGTAACGCGACAGACGCGATAGTCGCGCGTGGAATCGTACGGGATATAAATTAATTAGCGATTTAGGTTTGTGGTTCACGCAACAGTCCGGTGATTAGCTGCACGAAGATAACGAAATCGCAAGGCTGAGAATGATCTTGTTACATTACGGTGAGCAAATTAGAATACACGATGGAGGGAGAGAAGAGAGTGGACAACAAGATGTTTGATTGAATTGTGAAGATTATCAAAACATTCGATATATTGACGGATACCACGTAGAATTATAGCGCGTTAATCGATATTGATGTATTTCCCGGTAAGATAGAGGGATTTGTTTCAATTTCGACGAGTTTGATGTGATATTGTTTCGATAGATTTAATATTTTGTTGTGGCGTGTTTCTACGTTGTTTGCGATTACTTGTGACCACTTGGATCCGGTACGCGGCGATCGCGTGCATCAAGACTGGAGAGCGCGAGGGAGCTCTTATGAGAATCTCATGAGACGATTTTTACTGCGAAGTGCGTGCCTGCATTCGCTTTGTTTGTTTTTATTCGTTAGCATATGCGTAGAACTACGAGAGTAGTTGATCGTGTTGTATATATATGTCTGTGTCTATTGTACGCCAATAGTGCGTTAATGTTATTAGGGAGGATGAGTTTATCGGAAATTTAGATGACGCAACGTCGATTTAGAGTCGGATCGGTCCTTTCGAGAGGTCGAACTTTTCGGAAGGTAGAGACGTCATTTCTTCGAAATGACATCGATTTGTTGAGAAAAAAGAAAAACAAAAAGTGGATGAAAGCTCACATCACATTCCTAAGAAAGTTGTGTCACTCTTACAATTTATCAACGTTCTGTGGAATATTTCTGTGCTATTTTGATGACTTTTACTTGATAAAATCAGCTTCATCGTACGGTAAAAATCGTCAACTTGAATACGATTTCCGAGCGAGTCACTCTCTCGATCGAGTGATTCGCTCTGAAGCTCGAAGCGCCACAGAACGTTCAAATACCACGCTCCTTCGTCCATTCGATTCCTTCGATTCTGCGGTTGCGATCATACATATACACACACACATACACACACGGTGCGGTAATAACATCTGTTGCACACGCCCACCTTTTTAGACATAATAGATCCTAGTCACTTTGTCTAGCCATTATTTATTGAACAGGAATCTGATATTGTAACGATATATTGTGGATGTAGAAAATTATTTATAAAAATGACCATAGTCTAAGTCATTTACAGATACAACATGTGCTACGACGGACACATATGTACGAGAATAAATGGAAGAGAAGCCGGATCGAGTTGCATTTATTTGGAATTCCATATATTAAGCCCGTGTTAAACCAAGTATTGGAAATGGAGAATTGCAAATTAGAGATTAGAATTTCGATCTCGACATGTTTTATTCCTTATAACAAGTTGCAATCTGTAATCCTCAATTCCCAATATCTAATCTGATACTTTTATTTCTTTTGAACTTAAGACTCCTGGTCTCATTGCTGCGAAACCCTGGATTGATAATGTCAGAAGCGAGGAAACTTATGGCAAAAAATCTTGTGTGCCATTTTCAAATTAAAAGATACTTCTATGAAAGAACACTTCAGATCGTTTAAGCATACTTGCAAAACGCTCCGAAAATTATCCTTTTTCTCGACAGTTAATAATATAAAAATTAACGTAACATGTAACCTTTTCCTTAACCTATTTTTTCACAATTTTGTTACGTTAATTTTTAAGACTATTGATAATGCGCGTTTTCTCGTTGACATCATCAATCCAGGATCCCACGGAACCAGGAGCCTCAAAGAAGAAAAATGCTTTCATATGTATATTTGTTTAAACTTTGTGGTTTGTGTCCAACTTCCCTTCAATCGAGAAATCGATGGACTAACGAGATTGAGAGCACAAAGTACTTTTCATCGCAATAAAAAAGCCAACCGATCCTCTTACGCTACGTGTCGGGCTGCTTGAAGAACACTCTGGCGCCGGAGAGGCTATAGTATAATAGCTGGAACTCGGCGTTCCTCTCGGCTAAGCGTTTCAGCGTAAGCGCTCTGGTTTGTTGAAGTTTCTCGTCGCCGTGATCGTCCTTGCTCTCGGCGGCGTGCTTCTCCTGAGTAATATGCTGCTCCACTGTCTTGAACCAGTGCAATCCGTCCAACTCTGCACTCTGGTCCAGCAGTGCGTTGATATAGGCGATACCCATGGCGAAACCATCGTCGGTAAAGGCCGCGCCATGTTGATTCTTCTTGAATATCTTCTCCTTATTGGAGACGGAATTGTCGACGAAACTGAGCGTCAACGGCGGCACGATCGCATAGAATTGTTGCAGGTGATAAGACTTGGCGTCGCGGAACGCCGAGGCGAATACGTCCACCAGTAGCTTGAAGTATTGGATGCCCTCGGTGAAGTTACGCACCAGGTCGGCGATGTCGGCTTCCAGTCGTCCGGCTGCGGCCTGCGTGATCGCGCTGTAATTCAGCCCGCGACACAACGACTCGAACGGCACCGTTCTCTCGATATCCGGCAAAAAGGACACCGCGTTTGAGCTGGCGTGAAGGCCACCGGAACGAATCAGCCGCACGTAGCCCAACGCGTTGCCAATTTGCGTAATCAGCTGCCGAAACTGATCCAAGTAGCTCAGCCCGTCGGCGGTCATGCCCAGCTTCCGAATGCCTTTCTGGAACTTCTCCGCTCGTTCGTACGTGTACGGCGTGGCGCCGGCTTCCCGTTGCGCTCGCACGAACCTGATGTCGCGCATCAATCGCGACTTGATATGCTCGTCGAAGAGAAACTGGGAGAAGGTGTGCAGCTTGACGCGCAGGAACTGGTAGACGAAATTCACTGTGGTGCTCATGATGCCGGTGCCGTGGGTGCGGATCGAGTTGGCGATGTGTCTAATGCCGATGGTATTCAGGTGCTTGTTACCGCTACTGTGCTCTACAAACGTCTGTGTGTTCAGATTATATAGGTACCTGTCGACAGATTTAGAGCAATTAGATTTTTTTCCAAATGACAGATAAATCTCTTTTTTATTGCTAAAGATAGTTGAAAAGTGTTTCTTGTATACAAATACAAGAAATATTAAAACATTCAATAATTTTGAAATACCTGGAAACAAACACGTGGATGTTGCGCATAATCTCCAGAGCATCTAGACCCTGTTCCAAAGTCTGTGTCGGCAGATGATCCTGGACAGTATCCAGACCCATTTTATAGCTGGCCAATGCATGCATTGTCCGATAGGTCCTCCAATCGTGCAAAGCCACCGTCGTTAGATTGTAAAACATATCGTCTAAGTAGTGCTCGACAAACCTCTTCGTGCAGACCATATTCTCGGCCAAGGGCAATGGAGGTGCTCGCACTACTCTGCCACTGTCCTTGACGCCGACGTTGAAGGGATTCGTGGAATCGAGCTTGAGATGCGCGTGTACATGCAGCCGAAGACTGGTTTCGATCTCATGGCAGGCTGGCTTCAGCACATTCTTCACCAAACCCTCTCTGAGCTCCACGATTCGTTTATCCCTCAACTCGTTTGACTCCACAGCGCTGTTGAAGGCGGCAAACAGGTGAGCGAGGTGGTAAACGCTGGAGTTGCCGTCGACGATCGAGGTGAAGTACGCCGGCAACATGTTCTGATGATGCAGTAATAACGAGTAGTCGCAGAGGTCGTCGACGAACTCGTACAGCTCGGCCACGGAGTCGTAGCTGTCCAGCAGGTACCTTAGCTTCACCACGTCCTCTTCGCGGAACGTGTCGGTCAGCTGGTTGGCACAGGCGAGCGCACAGCGTATTATCAGCCTGCGATCTGCGCTCGCAGGTCCACCCATCAGCCGCATACTCAGGCCTATCAAAGACAGAGCGTCGAGTCGTTCTCTGCTGTAGCCCTTGTCTTTCTGTACGAGACCCTTGCGCGCCGTCTCCAGCAAAGCCAGCACATAATAAGCTATGTATTGCAATACCTGCCCCTGCGACTGCACCACGACCGGTCCAAGTGCGTGGAACGTCATCTGCAAGGACTTCTGCAGCTCGACAAGCCTGCAGATCAGCTGTACCGTGTTCCGACTCATCGGCTTCGAGAGGGAGGCGTGAAGATTCGTCAGGAACGAGACAGTCTCCTTCATCTGAGACAACAGAGTCAACAAGTCGCTGAGTAAAGTGCGCTTTTGGCCTATGTCCGATACTTGGAGATTGATCCTCGTCAGGATGCTTTGCATTTCCACGCACCAAGTAGTTGCCCTATGTATCAGATTATTTACCGTGACCGGTAATCTCTGGGTTCTCGTTTGCAGGATTTTCTCGCCCACCTGCGGGCTCACCGCGTTGCCGGTCTCCTTCGGTACGACGTCGCTGAGAAACTTGCTAGGCACCCACACGACGTTCCCTATCAACGTGACCGCGTAGAACTTCCTGTTCGCCTCTAACACTCTTTTGACGAGCTTCTTGTCGCAAGAGCCGAATAGCTTGATCGCAATGACGATACCGACGTTGACTCTTATCCAGTTCTTATTTAACGCGGCGTGATCGTTAGACTTGCTCTCCACGTCCGTTATCGTGTTCTTCAGGTAGCTGACGATTTGCTCATTCATGAGTGGACCTTTGTTCACCTCCATCACATGCTCGATCGCCTTCAGGAACATGTTCTGCCGCAGTAGCTTCTCCTGTAGCTCCTTTAAGAGATGATCAAACGTTTCCAGCTTCATCTCAGTGACTCCAAACTGCACAGGATCGTGCATCATGGAACGTACATGCATTCTATATTTCTTCCATTGGTCCACTATCGTAGGTTGCGCGTCGACAATCTCGTCGAGAGTCACAAGAATGACAAACAAGTCCACGAAACCCTCTATCAAGGCTGGCAGATAGATATCATGGACACTGCCCGATAGACTCGCCAACTGCTGCGTAGTCAAGTACACGACAGTTGACATTCTGTTGGCAAAAATGGACAGATCCTGGAGATCAGACAGTAGCTTAGTCACACCAGTGAGGTCGTTATCCATACATCTCTCCCCATGTGCAAAGAGCTTTGCGTAAAATCCAGCAGCCTCTACCTTCAGCAATCTGATTTCCCTGCACGTACCAGCCACTGCCGCCAGCAACTTGGACAGAACTTTGTTCTCCATCTCCACCAAGGAGATGATGCTGATGTCCTCCGTTGACTTGTATACTAGCCTCACGGGACCCTCCACGACGTACTCCAATGTAGAGTCGCATCCCCAAGATTTTTCTACCAAGTTCTCGAAGAACTCCCCATATTTCCGCAGGTGCATCGCCCCTGCGGCTTTGTAGATACTCTCGTCCTTCTTGGAATTCCATCCTGGTGGGTCTATCATCCTTGATCAGCAATTCTGTACGAACTGTGACGATCATTAGAAATATGAATAGTACAAAGGTTAAATTCCATGAGATTTGTATGTATCTATAATATCGCCTACCTTACACATGTATTCTATTTATTTTATATTCTAATTCTTATATATTAATCTCTTCTTAATATCTGGTCATAGCACATCATCTCGCTTTCGCACATTATGCGTGTCATCATTGTTATTCTATCCAAACTGATTAAAACTTCAAATCAGCTCAATTTACACACGTTGACAGTTGTATACTTTTGATAATGCAGTAAAACCATCATTGAATTCTCATGTTCGTGGTAGATGGCGACAGGAATGCATGTAAGTACCAATAATCGATAATTTTGCTCGGTTGGTAAATCGCGTTCTTTTCAATTATTGTATTTATTTTGTTTTTCCTCGCGTGCGAGAAGATATATTTCTCTTGTCGTTCAAATCAATTCACGTAAGCTCAAATAATAAAGAAAGATCATAAAACAATGAATTGAAGAATTCAACTTACCGTATTGATACTTTATTATCAGTACAGATTTTATACAAGTGAGATGGAAATTTATATGATACCAATCTTATTCGCAACATCTAATGCATCATAATCGCGCGTTAAACGCACATAAGCCTTCTTTTTGCCATCTGGCCTAACGAGGGTGTTAACTTTTGCCACGTCGACGTCGTAAAGTTTCTTGATCGACGCCTTGATGTGATACTTATTGGAACGTATATGGACTATGAAGACCAAAGTGTTGTTATCTTCGATCTTCTTCATAGCCGCTTCCGTCGTCAAAGGATACTTGATGATGTTGAAAGCATCCATACTGAAACAAATCGCGATGATGTAAAAATATATTCAGGAGAAAATTGCAATATAGATTTAAGATCTAGATAAAATATTCTCCAGAGAATACTTACCGATTCCTGTTGGGTACCGATTTGCGCGCATATTTAGGAGTCCTCGACGGTCTCTGGGTCTTGGGCCTGTGGAAATGGACGGATGTCCTGATTTTCCTTACTCTCGAACCATGTACTCCCTTCAGGATCTAGTACAAAGTACAAATTCTCTTATCAGTATTCAGAATAACATACAATAGTGTGGATTCAGTGCATTTTAATTTTTCAGTGCTATTTGAAAAGTATTCTCACAGAAATTCTCAAAGAGATTCCCATACATAGTTTCATCATACATTACTTAAAATTGAAAATAAACAATTTTTAATTATTTGTCCTCAAATTATATATAATGTAACATTTATTTATAACTTATCTTCCATTTGTACCTTTTTCTGTGCCTTAAGAGCTTTCTGAAGAGGCACTGCTGGCTTTCCACCCTTGGGAGTCTTTTTCGCAGCTTGTATATTTTTCTTAGGCTTGCTAATCAATGGCTTGCTAGCAAGTTTGAGTACAGTTTTCGCTACAGGCTTGGCTGCAGGCTTGGCAGCTGCTGCCGGTTTGGAAGCTGCTGGCTTCTTCGCAGCAGCAGGCTTGGCTGCAGGCTTTGTCACTTTGCCACTGGAAGCTGCAGTGGCTGGCTTCTTCTCGGTCTTCTTTTCAGCTTTCTTTTCTGCAGGCTTGCCTATATTTGTGAGATGCAATATATAAAAAATAAATTATTAAAACATATTAAGAATATACGTTCCTTTCACATATATATTACTTATAAAAGAACCAACGAGATCTATAACTTTTGTCTTGTATTTTATAGGTTAAGGTACGTGTACATATAAATATTACAAAAATATCAAACTTGGTGTTTTTAAAAAAAGTCGCACATAGAATTTCAAGGATTATTTTTGTAACTGTTTTTGTAGTAAATATGATGTGAAAATGTGTTCAAGTGATTATAGACCACATGGCCGTCGTGGGACCATGCCGCGCTCGTTACAACCAACTTCGACATTTGAGACTTTCCCATTAAGGATTTACGTTAGTTAATTAAACGCTAATTACTTATTTCGGAAAAATGCAAGTACTCCAGAATATTTTTGTACTTACCTGCTTTATCTGTAGGCTTCGGTTTAGGTGCCATTTTGCTAAAAGAACGACACGCGTTGAAAGGAAGCGTAAGCACGATCAACCTAGCTATGAGGAGAACTACGTTAGTCGTTGACGAACTGGACGGAAGTTTCTATAGTGCGTTCGTTTTGGCGCTTACAACGCTCTGAGCATCATTTCATCCTTGTTTCTATCAAATACTAAGGGCCATGGCACAGAAAAACTTAAGCAGTAAGCAAAGCAGTAAGCAAATTGACCAATCACAGTCGTTGATTCTTCTTAAGGTCCAAGAATCAACGACTGTGATTGGCTGATTCGCTTATTGCTTACTTCTTATGGCTCTCGCAGCCAGCGCGATTTGCTACGCGACACGCGATATGCGATGCGCGATATCCAATGAGCGTATAGCTTTTCCGGAATACCAATACGCTCATTGGATATCGCTCGTCGCATATCGTGTGTCGCGTCACGCATCGCACTGGCTGCGAGAGCCATTACTACTTAAGTTTTTCTATGTGCCACCAACTTACAAGGACAAATGATGCTTACATGCCCTGTAAACGAACGCAACCATATTTACGTAAACTGGCGCGGGAATTTTTGAATGAGATTATTTCTCAATGAAATCTTTTTTTAAATATTTGTTTCCTTAAAAAAACAGCTCTGAATTGTTCAACTATAAACACTAAATTGTTAAATTAATAGATCAGAACAATATTAACAAATTAGGCAAGCAAATACAAATTTAAAAAAAAAGTTAAAACAAAAGAATTATCTATAAGATACATTCGTCCGTGTGAAACACTACTTTTTTTATTTTATTACTACTTTATTTTATTACTACTTTATTAATACTTTTTATTGATATGCAGATATTTAAAGAAAAAATGAATGACAATTAATATTATTTTGAAATGTTAAATATATTTTTTAATAATTATTTGTTGCGGAACAGGAACAATTTATGGAATCATATACCCAGTGAACACCAACAATAACATTACATCAATGTTATAGTTTTCTATTTAGCAATATAAATGTAACCTAACACATGTTATGCATAAGAGTTACATTATTGAGTGAAAAATTATAACATTGATGTAGTGTTACTCTTGTTTACTTAAATATTAGCAGACTGAATACATTATCAGTCGTAGTTGACAATATCACCCGTATAAGACCACCACATAACACAACTCAGCGTATTACGATCGAACACCTGCCGCAGCAACCAATGTTTCCGTTTTGCGACGGGATTACTCACGCGTGAGTTCGCAAGCGTCAGTCTCGCGTGTAAAGCCGCACAATTCAACGCAACGTTCAAAATCGACGACGTGCGGATCGGAATAAGTATGCACTGTGAAATAAATAATTAATTTAGTACACATCTACACAGCATTACAAAATATTACATCAACATTAAACCTAAGAAAATTTTAATTATGTTGTTAGAAATGGTAGTGGTGTTATAATGACCTTAAAATGTTACTTTCTGGAACTTTTAATAAGGCTTAAACCCGAACATAAATATATCATTTTCTTGGTCAATTCATAATTTTCTTGGGCAATTCACAATTGTCTTGTGAAATTAATATTATTTCAATGCCTATCGAAATATAAATATCTTAAGCTAACGTTTTAGTAATATTAACGTATTTCTCCATGCGCGCGCGCGATGGAGAAAATTACTACACACTGTACTCTCATGCAAAAATATTTAAGTTATTAACATATTACAACGTTTGAATAATACCCTGATAGCCAAACGTGCCAAAAGCAAATTTCAGTAAAGCGTACTGCACGTTTTGTCGACAGTGACAAAATTGCAGCACGATTTGCTATCCCTTATAGAAATATCATACTAAGAATCATTGATAATTGCTTATTTTCAGTATTAAAAATACTGGATAATAAGTAATTATCAATGATTCTTAGTATGATATTTCTATAAGGGATACCAAGCGATGTCGGCAAAATGTGTGCAATATTACGACACGATCTGTTAGCAAGCATGATAGCAAACTGCTGGCAAAAACCGGACAAGCTATCATTAATATGATGGCATATTGACAGCAGAAACTGAGCAAATCGTGCCGAGCAATAGTGTGATGGCAAATTTGCAGCAAACAACGAGCAAGATGTGCAGAGCAACGCGTGACAGTAAATTGACGGCAAAAAGCGAACAAGACGTGCTGAGCAATGTGTGACGGAAAATTTGCGGCAAAAATCGAGCAAGACGTGTCAAGCAACATATAACTGACGGCAAAAGCCGAGCAAGTCGTGTCAAATTTTATCCAACATGTAAAGACTATACGAAACGCCTTTGTTAGTGAAGTGAAGTGAAGTAACATATAGGACGACAGACTTGAAGAACCAAAGATCTCGAGTTCAAATCCAATGTGGGCAAAGGATTTTTTCAAGACAATATACACTGAGATATTTACGTTCTACACACGGAAAAAAAAGTTTGAATTAACCAAATAGTCGAATATGAATGATCCAGAAATTCCGATTGAAGTAACTCAAATTCTGTTTAAGTTAACAAGATTTTTGATTGACTTAAACAGAATTCGGATTACTTCAATCGGAATTTTTGGATCGTTCATATTCGACCAGATATTTAGTTAATTCAACCAAATCTTTTTTCCGTGCATGATTAGGAAGAGTTCCAACAATAAAAGCCATTGGTGTCATCTCTAAAAGACACAAATAGTATTTCATAGAACTAAAAACTTTAACTAGGTCAGTCTATCTACTGATAATGAGGTATGCCTGATGCAGAAAATAAACTACATCACTAGTTATATTTTTTTTGTCTAACTATACCTTTACAGAAATATCATACTAAGAAATACTGAAAAATTATTAGTGATTAAGTATTACCAGTAATTCAGTAATTTTTTGGCCAGTACTTAATTTCTGGAATATTGATAATAAAATTACTGTTAAATATTGACAGTAATCAAATACTGAGAATTATTGTGCGAAGGTGAAAAATGAGAAAATCATAATATTTAAAAAATATACTTATAATTCCTAATTTTCTCATATCTCATACCCTTATAGAAATATCATACTAAGAAATACTGAAAAATTATTAGTGATTAAGTATTACCAGTAATTCAGTAATTTTTTGGCCAGTACTTAATTTCTGGAATATTGATAATAAAATTACTGTTAAATATTGACAGTAATCAAATACTGAGAATTATTGTGCGAAGGTGAAAAATGAGAAAATCATAATATTTAAAAAATATACTTATAATTCCTAATTTTCTCATATCTCATACCCTTATAGAAATATCATACTAAGAAATACTGAAAAATTATTAGTGATTAAGTATTACCAGTAATTCAGTAATTTTTTGGCCAGTACTTAATTTCTGGAATATTGATAATAAAATTACTGTTAAATATTGACAGTAATCAAATACTGAGAATTATTGTGCGAAGGTGAAAAATGAGAAAATCATAATATTTAAAAAATATACTTATAATTCCTAATTTTCTCATATCTCATACCCTTATAGAAATATCATACTAAGAATCATTGATAATTACTTATTATCCAGTATTTTTAATACTGAAAATAAGTAATTATCAATGATTCTTAGTATGATATTTCTATAAGGATAAACCACTAGGTATCGAAGACAACATACTCGAAACTTTCGTGAATCCTCCTCTCGACAGTTTCGATCTCAAGCGGTATATCACTGATCACCCACCCATCCATGTCCTGACTCCGTTAAAGTGTTGCTTACCTAGATAGCACAGAAAATTCAAAAAGAATTTAAAAAGAATTAAGTCGTATGCCAATTCTGAGTTCATTTTCAAATATAAAAAAGAATTCTTCAGAGTTCAGTGAAAAGAATTCTTTTTGTATCTAAAAATGAACTCAGAATTGGTGACATACGACTGAATTCTTTTAGAATTCTCTGTGCTATCTGGGTAACCTGAGGATCGAGCGACACGCGGCGATTCCTAATGACTCCAACGATATCCTTACGATTTACGCTTATATAATATATCCTTATAGTGTTCACAGTATGTTATAACATACTTAGCAAACACCAAATAATAGTCATATAACATATATAAGATTACCAAATAAAAAATTATTTTTTAAATTCGTGCACAGTGTGTTTGTTATTAACAAATTGTTGTAAATATATGAAAATTACTTATCGTTCACACTTTGTCGGCAAAAACATGTAATTTAGAAACTTCAACGATTGAAAGCAAATACAAAGCAAATCGATGAAAAAGTTCCATTTCTGCCGTTGTTATCACGTTGCCATCAAAATGCTATTGACGCAAAGACAAGTCATCAGTTCTTGTCATGTTGCCATCATGTTGTTTGCAACCTTCCGTACTATTGTTGCTGATCGTTTGCTCTTAAAATTTCATCAACTGATTACATGTATTACCACTTATGTTGCTGAATTTGGTAGCACATCGCTTACGATGATGACAACCAAATATCAACTATTCAGCAAAATATGCAGTGCTTGAGTTCGTTTGCTTGATATGCTAAATCACGCTTGGTTATCTGGGATAGTATATATACTATAAATTTGCTGCAATCCTATGATTGATTTTGCTGGCAATTTGTCGGCATATTGCTGACATTTTGTTATCAGGATAATAACATTACAACTTGAATAATAATAATGTTGACTTTAATGCTATGTAGGTAATTACACTCAGAGCTGACTGCGTGCAACGATAAGTTGTGGTGCACAAGCTTGCTTTAAGAAGCCCATTATTCTTAGAATAGTCTACTGTAAATAATCAATTTGCTTACAGCTCACGGTCTCCATTATTTTTGGAATAATTGACTGTAGTCAGTCAATTTGCATACAACTTACAGCTCTTTGAAGGAAAATTGTGACAGGACTCTAACGAGTGAACAATTCGTCGAACATTTCGACTCGATTCAACTGAGCAATGCTGGAGACGCGCTCCGCCGTATACAAAATGATGCAAGAGGAAGCTCACAATGAAAGACAGGTGAGAGAACTCGTCGAGGTTGATAAAATGCCAACGAATAGATGCAGTTCCTCTTCTTCACGGTACAGTACGTAAATTTTCAACGGCAGATTACTAATTGGCCGCCGCCGTTCTCGTCCGAGATGACTCCATACACGATAACTGACTTCGGCAACTTGATCAGACGAACTTGCGACAGCAAAAGCTTGACTCTCAGAATCTCCAAGATGATCATCATCGGCGACGTGGCCGTCGGCAAAACAGCATTAGTGAACAGGTTCTGCCACAAGCTCTTCGATAACAATTACAAGGCTACTATCGGCGTGGACTTCGAAGTTGAGAGATTTGACATTCTTGGCGTGCCTTTCCACTTGCAAATGTAACAAAATCAATCCCAGAGATATCTGTAAACAGTTTAGCAATATGGACAAATATATACGCTATATGATCTACACACGTGTGATAATTATACGAAAGAATATTTGCAGATGGGACACTGCGGGACAAGAAAGATTCAAGTGCATAGCAGCGTCATATTATCGCGGCGCAAACGGTAAAAACAACCTTTTTACAATCTCTATTTACTTAATTTATATTGATTAATTGTTAATTGCTTAATATGTTACTCGATACTTGATCACTTGATAAATTAAATGAATAAATAAATAAATAAATAAATTAATTAATTAATAAAACTTACTTGATTATTTATTAGTTAACATAAATGCAATATAACATATATGTTATGTAACAGTTACATTGTTGACTGATTCGGAAATTATAACTAATAGTTATATTAGCGTTACTATGTGTTTGCTGGGATATAACATATGTTGTATATAACAGTTACATCATTGACTGGGATATTATAACATCGATGCAATGTTACTGTTAGCTGAAATCTATTGAAAAGCTAATTATTTAATTACCTAATAAATTACTGCATAATTATGTATTTCAGTAATCATGGTCGTCTTCGATCTGGGAAACTTGATGTCCCTGACGCACTGTCAGCAGTGGTTGAATGAAGCAAGTCGCAGCAACGTTGGTCCTTATCACATTTTCCTGGTGGGAACTAAGAAAGATTTACTGGTAAAGGTCGACTCCATCTTTTTTCAGTTTCTCCTCCCTTTCTAAATACTCTCCTAACATCTTTATGGAATGACAGTCTCAACCGGTATACGATATAATAGAGAGGCGGGCGGCAGAAACGGCAAATAGAATGCGAGCAGAATACTGGTCGGTTTCCTCGAGGACAGGCAACGGCGTGCCCGCATTATTCACACGTGTAGCAGCGTTATCTTTTCACGCGATGGCGTTGAGAGAGATGCAGAGCCTGAAACTGGAGCCAATAAACATCGGTTCTACGACGATAAGTGAGTATAGATCTAACAGCTGAGATGTTGGAGATGCGGTGTGTAAATCAGTCTTGATCGATTCTTCTTTCAGCGTTGAAACGGCAGTCAAGAGAAGCCGAAATCAAAGCGCGAAGGATGCCAAAGTGCCTCAAGTGCTCGACGTGACGGCTGAGATCTTAAAAAATAAATTATGTTAATAAAAATAAAACAAACGCAATAATTAATTGTAGTACACTACAATTACCAAGCAGTTAGAATATCAGGTCGAGAATAACTTCTCAGACAGTATGAATTCTAAAAACTATGCATAAGATGTCTTTTAGTCATCTTTATGATACATTTTTTAGAAATGTCATAAACATAATTAAAAGACATCTTAAAGTTATTTTATACGTCATTTTTAGAGCTCGTGCTGTCTGGGTTTCATTAAACTCTAATTAGCCTACTGGACGATTTAAAAACCACTATGAGCTCACTGGGACTGTATTCTCGATGTTTCTTTTCTTGTATTTGAACGTTAAGTACGCAACCTTGCTTTAAGTCATAAATCGTAAACTAATTCATTAACTACAATCGATTATTCTTGGAATAGTTAGAAAAGAGAAGAATAATCAGAAAAAAAATAAGTAAAAGAGGTTATTTCAAGAATAATCGACTCTGATAGTTTAATTTGACAGCTTATGGCTTAAAGCAAGATTGTAGATTAGATTAAATCTTTCTGATTCTCAAACTGAACAACCTTATACGCTCATATAAGAAAAGTATAACTTGAAATAAAAAGAGCATACCAGTGTTCGGTTGTGTGTCAAAAATGTAGCCCTTGCTCTGTTTTACCATAAATTGTCGATCTGTTATATTAGTTGCGTTTGAGGAGACGTTATTTAACGCTATGAGTGTGCTCTGTCCTTGTTTGTTCCTGAAAGTTGAACAAGGACAGAGGACGCTCATAGCGCTAAATAGCGTCTCCCCGAACACAACCATTATTGCACGAGAAATTACATAACTGGAAATCAATGTTGCAATTCTTTCGATTATTTGTTGATGATCTTATATCAGATGATAACTATCAATATTAGGTTATATAATATTAATCGATGATTAACTGAAGAAATTTTCAAGAGCAACTTCTAGCTAATTCTGACTAATTCGTTTTCTCCGAGAAAATAATTAAAAAATTAATAACTCTGTATACTTTACCCTTATAGAAATATCATACTAAGAATCATTGATAATTACTTATTTTCAGTATTAAAAATACTGGATAATAAGTAATTATCAATGATTCTTAGTATGATATTTCTATAAGGGAGCAAAACAAAACACAAGTAACGCTTGACAGCAAATGTAAATTGCAGAGAAAAAACAAGAGTACTCTTTCACTTGTTTTAACAACAAACTGTGTTTTATTTCGGTGAATCGGCTAAATTGATTGTCATAACTAGCTCGATTAGAATTCGATGGTCACAGATCACAGTTTGAATCTCGCGCCTTTCTTCGTCCGCCTATTGTAGCGACATCTAGTGACCGAGCATCGACGCAGATCCACCTTGCGGCGGAAAAAAGGTGCGCTTCATCGCGGCGTATCCGTGTCGTGCGCGCGTGCTCGTCGTGATGCGTGATCGTATGTGAAACTCGCGATTCTTCAGTGAGCACGCGTTGGATAGCGCAACGGTGACGAATTCGTTGCCGTCCCACCGTCGTCCTGAGAGGTAACATCGAGTGAGCGAGCGTCGAGCGAGCATCGAGCGAGCATCGATCGAGCGTCGGTATTCAGCCGGGACTGGCCGTGTTCTCAGGTTGACAGGTAAATTTCGAACCGCATTCCGACAGGTGGTGACGATCAATTAGCCGGGGGAGGGCAGGGGGCTCTCGCGGAGATCAGGTATTAAGCGAGATGGAACAGGAAGCACAGGCGGAATCATCGAGCCGATGACCTCGGAAACGCGCGCGTGCGGCGCGAGTTTCGCAAACTCGCAATATCAGAAGACGTACAGTCGACGGCGAAGAGAGATCAGGTGCCTTCTCTCGTTCTCTTTCTTTCTTTTAACAGAAATGTCTTGCGAAATGGACGAGAATCAACGAAGTCGATCGCACGAGCTGTTCTGATATTCGCAGCGATAAAAAATTGATATCTATTTCTTTTCACCGTCGGCTCTTCACATTACATTGCACTTTACATAATATTGTTTTATAATATGAAAAAACCCATACTACGAAACGCACAGCTTGGTGATACGACTTGAGGACCCTAGGCAGATAATGTATTTTTTATCAGTCTATTGACTTCATTGCTACGGAACTTTGAACTGTGACGTCATAAGCGACAAAATACAAAAGTTCTTTTTTCAAATGAAAAGATAATTTTATCAGAAAATGCTCGAAGTCGTTTGAGCATATTTGTAAAATGCTTCGAAAACTGTCCTCTTTCCTTGACAGCCAATGAATAGTCTTAAAATTGATATGGCAAAATTACGAGAAAAGATAACTCAGATAGTACAGTATCTAAAATCGGAACGTACGATGTCTAATTTTAAATATTGTACTGTCCGGGCCTATTTATTGACTGTCAAGGTTAAAAGAATCATTTTCGGACCATTTAATAAATATGCTCAAGCGATCTGGCGTCCCCTTACACAAAGATATTTTTATACGATAATGGTGTAGCGTTCTCTCGTTTCTTCGACATCATCAGTTCAGCGATTTTGTAATTTTTAATGTTATGTCGTTATCGTTATGTTTTCAAGAATTTACCCTCTGGCATGTATCTTCGGGTATGTAGTATCAGATTGATGATTCATTAAATGTTGAATGGTTTTCCTCCCCAATGATACAGACGACGTATCCACTTGAAAATAAATGATTTTCATGATAATGGAACGTAATACAGCATGACAAAGAATATTTTTAAATGAAAAATTCTAAAGAAATGTTTAATCTGTTGCTGATAACTTCCGGGAATACGTAGATATGGCGGGCGCGAAAAAACAATTCTACCGTGATAAAATTATGTATGACGCAGCTCACAATCTCGTCGAGTTCGCGAGTGCCTAATACATCGTATATTTGTTCTCGTTTCCGTTGCAATATTCCGCGACGCGGAGTATTGAGCAGGAAAAGGTAAGCGAGAGAGCGAGATTTGCGTCAGTTTCCGAGAAACGTTTCGCTTTGCGCGGGAAACTTTCTCGCAATCTGGTGAAAATTCACGAAATTCACGCCTTACATTTATGATACTTGCGAGAGCACAATTAACGCGTTGCCGTTGACGTCAATCGCTAGTTACGTTTCGACGAATTTAGATTCTGTTTATTTCCGGACGCGAACAATAACGGTCGCTGTGCAAATGGAGTGTTCGTGTTACGAATCCTCGATTAAGGATGTATTGCCCACAATTCAAAAATAATGAAAAAATTTTAGAAGAATTAATTCATTTACCATATTCTGCATGATCATTTACAAGTTTTCTACAATTAATATCTGGATAATTATTGCGAATATCGCAGAACGGTATAGGACTTTTATGTTCACCTCAACCTGTTCTACGAGTGCGTTCGGGGAACACGCTACTAACGCTATCACGTTCTTCTATCTTTATTGCTCCTTAGATATATAACAAGGATAGAATGATACTGTAGCGCTGAATAGCGCTAATAGCGAGCTCCCCAAACGCACCCAATATCCCCACAAAATGCCCGGAGGAGAGTGAAACACCCTGTACACACACACACACACACACACACACACACACACACACACACACACACACACACACACACACACACACACACACACATATAGTGTCCGGTAACTGATCTACGCCGTATACGGGTACAACGAGTCAAAATAATCATAAAAGTTATATACCATTTTGAAATTTTCTCAATATTTATTCTGTAATTAATTAAAATGTATAAACGAATGAGCTCACGAGAAGCGGTAAGACAGGCTCTGTGTGTAAAAGAAATCGCTTACCTCTTAGCAACGATGAGTAAATAGCTGATTTCGAAGAGGAGTAACAAGTGACACGTATATGTTGCTCAGCCTGTCTTACCGCTTCTGGTATGTTCATTCGTTTTTACACTTTAATTAATTACGGAATAAATATTGATGATTATTTTTACCCGTTCTATCCGTACACGGCGGTTTTTCGTACATACTCTGTATATACAGGGTGTCCCGCATAAGGCGCCCAAGAAGAAAAATATAGATAGAACAGATAAAAGTAAATAAATATTATATAGGTCATTTTTCAAACAACCACGTAAAATTTCGAGATATTAATTAAAATAGTTGGGCATATCAGAGCGCGGCGACGCGGCAGGCGAGACATACGGCTCGCCGCGATTGGCGAAAAAAATGGACGATTGCTCGCGGGCCTATCTTATAGGTTAGAGAGGTGGACCGTTTGGCATACGGAAATAGGTAACTCCGTGTGTGTGTCCATGTACGTGTGCGCTCGTCCATTTTCTTCGCCGACTGCGAATATCTGCAGCGTCGCGCGCTCTGATTTGTCCATCTATTTTATTTAATAACTCGAAATTTTACGTAGTTTGAAAAATGACCTATACAATATTTGTTTACTTTTATCTGTTCTACCTAATTTTTTTTCTTGGACGCCTCATGCGGGACACCCTATATATATATGATGTCTCAACTTTAATATGTCTTTAACGTTAATAATATGTCAATAATATATTATTTGATATTACTTTGCTACTTGGAACTATCTTAAATCATACAATTATGTAAACTGATATGATATCGCTATCTTTAGTAAAAGAAAAAATAATTAAATATTAATGACAAAAAATTAAGTTTTGTACATATGTACCTTAAGTATTTAAAATGATATATGCAAGGTTTCATTGCGCTTTGGAAATAGTTTAAAAGACAAAAATAATATAAAACAAAGTAAATATACTATAAAAATGTGACGTTAAAGTAAAAATATATTATTATTCAATTATTATTATTATTCAATTATTATTATTATTCAATTGAATATATACGTTTTTATACGAAAAATAGAAATATTACTGATTTTCCATTACTTTTTGCAGGGACTGTACTGGCAATATATTCTTAAAGGTAGAATCACTTGATACACGAATTCTGCATCCTTATATGCATGCTGATCGGCAATTCAGTTCACTGTATGAATCAGTATTGTGCATTGGAATATGTATGCAGTGAACTGAGTCAACATACATGTCAGGAAATATGAAATCGTGTAATTCTAGCTTAATTCTAGGTTCGTATTAACAATTGTCACTTGAAATTTGTCTGATATAAAACACACAGACTTTTATACAGAGGTAAACCTATATTAATAGTCGATATTCTGAAAACTTGCCTCACATGAGATGCTCAGATTTAAATTTAGAATTAGATGTAAGTTTTTCAAAATATAATACCACATATACTATATAATTAAAAAAAAAACTTAAATCTAACTCTAAATTTGCGAGTCGAAATTTTAACCCTATTTTCAACTTGAACTTTCTAACATTTGTATATTCTGAAGGATTACTATATGTTTAACATGCATAGAAAGTAAATTGCTAATGCACTAAATACTTCATTATTAAATAGTAGAAAACGCACAAAATGTAAATCCTAAAGTCTGATCTACAAGATGCTCTTTGTTTTCTTTTTTTATCCGCTATCTTCTTTAATGATGTATTCTTAATGATGTAATGAGTAAAGTTTAAAAGTTTAAGTTACCAATAAATAAAGAGAAAGAAACAGGAAGCAAAGAGTATATAGTAGATCTGGGTTAAAGAGGACTTCTCGGCAAAATTAATAAGTTAAAGAATAGATAAAAAAGTTTAATGTAGAGGTTTCAGAGTATCAAAATAGGCGTTAAATTGAATATCGAGACTGAAAGCAAAATCAAAATTTTTGTTGGAACAAGTTTCAAGTAGCTTGATAGAGACTTTAAACTCGAGTTTTTTAATTGAATTATGATATATGCGGTATGCGCGCAACAAAGAAAGTTGTTTTGCAACTTACAAAATTCTGAATCTGTACGCTCTTAATCTTGGCTGAATCTAAGAGCATACACCAATCACGAATTTAATAACAGTTGCAAAGTAGCTTTCTCTGCTGAACGCAGCAGTTTACATCAGCAATCTCAATTCAACTGAAAAATTTTCATTTAACTCTGAATTAAAA